CCTCACACATGGTGGGCACTTTTGTCTCAGCACACTGGTGACATCCTAGTGGGCCGCACCCTGGTTAAAATCAATATAAGAACATAAGAACCCTAAGAACGAAGGAACCCTGCAAGGAACCTACTGGGGATGCGAGGAGGTCCAAGTCTCCCACCGGCTTAAGCCAATGCACCCAACCTAGTCAGGTCAGGGAAAATTGAATTAAGGGGGGAACACGGCAACCGACTGGTAGACAAGCTATCAGGTCTAACTCACAACCACCCACATCTACTCATGTATTTATCCAACCTATTTTTAAAGCTACACAACGTTCTGGCCTCTATAACGGTACTTGGGAGTTTGTTCCACTCATCCACAACTCTATTACCAAACCAGTACTTTCCTATATCCTTCCTGAATCTGAATTTTTCCAACTTAAAACCATTGCTGCGAGTCCTGTCTAGGCTAGATATTTTCAGCACACTATTTACATCCCCTTTATTTATTCCTGTCTTCCATTTATACACCTCAGTCATATACCCCCTAATTCTACGTCTTTCTAGAGAGTGCAGTTTCAGGGCCCTCAGTCTATCCTCATAGGAGGCCTGGTCACAGACCGGGCCGCGGGGGCGTTGACCCCCGAAACTCTCTCCAGGTAAACTCCAGGTAATAGGGAAGTTTCTGATACATGGGATCAACTTTGTCATCCTCCTTTGTACATTTTCCAGAGAATTTATATCCATTCTGTAATACGGTGACCAAAACTGTGCAACATAATCTAAATGAGGCCTAACCAAGGATGTATAGAGTCGAAGAACAACCTGAGGACTCCTATTATTTATGCTTCTTGATATGAAGCCAAGGATTCTATTAGCTTTATTGCGAACACTTATGCACTGTTGTCTTGGTTTCAGATTACTGCTAACCAGAACTCCTAAATCTTTTTCGCAATCCGTAATATTAAGATCTACATTATTTAGTTTATATGTGGCATGGTTATTGTCCTGTCCAACATTTAGAACTTTGCATTTGTCTATATTAAACTGCATCTGCCACTTCTCCGACCACTGCATCAGTCTATTAAAATCTTCCTGGAGTGCTCGAATGTCCTCGTCAGAATGAATTCGACGGCCTATTTTGGTGTCATCGGCAAACTTGCCGATGTCGCTCTTTATGCCCTCATCTATGTCGTTTATGTAGATTGTGAACAGCAGGGGGCCCAACACTGACCCCTGTGGAACACCGCTCGTGACGCTTCCCCACTCTGATTTCTCCCCATTTATGCAAACTCTCTGCTGCCTATTTGTCAACCATGCCTCTATCCAGAAAAAATTTCTCCTCCTATTCCATGTGCTTTAATTTTCCTCAATAGTCTCTGATGTGGGACCCTGTCAAAAGCCTTACTGAAGTCCATATACACAATATCATATTCATTACCATGATCTACCTCCTCAAATACCTTAGTGAAAAAAGTTAATAAATTCGTAAGGCAGGAACGCCCCTTTGTAAAACCATGCTGAGATTCGTTGATTAATTTATGCTTTTCAAGGTGGCTACGAACTGCCTCGGGCAATTATTGATTCCATAAATTTTCCCACTATGGAGGTTAGGCTTATTGGTCTATAGTTCGAAGCTAAGGACCTGTCACCTGTTTTGAAAATAGGTATCACATTTGCCATTTCCACTTATCTGGCACCATGCCAGTTTGTAGTGATATGGTGAAAAGATTAGCCAAATGTGTGCTAAGCTCCTCTTTACATTCCTTTAGAACCCTTGCATACAGTTCATCAGGGCCTGGGGATTTGTTAGGTTTTAATTTATCTATTTGCCTAAGGACCATGTCACTTGTGACCTTAATAGTGCACAGTTTATTATCGTCCTGTTCTACATAATTTATCATTACTGGAATATCGCTGGTATCCTCCTGTGTAAAAACTGAGAGGAAGTATGTGTTAAAAATTCTACACATTTCCTTATCACTGTCAGTGAGCGGGACCCGAGGAACTTTTGAGTGGGCCTATCTTGTCCCTGATCTTACTTCTGTATACCTGAAAGAATCCTTTTGGGTTAGTCTTCGATTCTCTTGCAACTTTAACCTCATAATCTCTTTTTGCTTTTCTAATTCCCTTTTTTATTTCTCTCTTTAACTGAATATATCGATTTCTCAATTGCCCCTCTCCTCTTTTGATTTGCCTATATATGCCTCTCTTTTGACCAATCAGATATTTTAATCTATTGTTCTTTCCATTTAGGATCATTTTTGTTTGATCTGATTTCCCTATTTGGAACATAATTTGACTGAGCAGCTAAAAACTATGCCCTGGAAAGCATCATATCGGCAACCATCACCACCTACCTGACCCTTAGTCAGGTCATTCCAGTTCAGCCCACCTAAGTAATTTTTCAGTCCTATGAAATCAGCCAAGCGAAAGTCAGGGACGGAGACTTGATTGCCATTATTAGGGGAATTCCATGATATATTAAAACTGAGTGATTTGTGATCACTTTCCCCAAGCTCATCATTAACCTCAAGATTATTAATTAGTGTTTCCCTACTGGCAAGAACCAAGTCAAGGAGGTTATTTCCCCTAGTTGGCTCTGTCACAAACTGTTTTAAAAAATCCTGGATCGTATCAAGAAAGTCACCTGACTCAGCACACTGGTGACATCATAGTGTCTCAGCACACTGGTGACATCATAGTGTTTCAGCACAATGGTGACATCATTATGTCTCAGCACACTGGTGACATCGGTGTCTCAGCACACTGGTGACATCATAGGGTCTCAGCACACTGGTGACATCATAGTTTCTCAGCACACAGGTGACATAGTGTCTCAGCACACTGGTGACATAGTGTCTCAGCACACTGACATCATAATGTCTCAGCACACAGGTGACATCCTAGTGTCTCAGCACACTGGTGACATCATATGGTCTCAGCACACTGATGACATAAGGTCTCAGCACACTGGTGACATCATAGGGTCTGAGCACACTGACATCATAGGGTCTCGGCATTCTGGTGACGTCATAGGTTCTCAGCACACTGGTGACATCATAGTGTCTCGGCACACTGGTGACATCATAGTGTCTCAGCACACAGGTGACATCCTAGTGTCTCAGCACACTGACATCCTAGTGTCTCAGCACACAGGTGACATCCTAGTGTCTCAGCACACAGGTGACATCCTAGTGTCTCAGCACACTGGTGACATCCTAGTGTCTCAGCACACTGTTGACATCATAGTGTCTCAGCTCACTGATGGTATAGTTTTTTGGCACACAGATGACATCATAGTGTCTCAGCACACTGGTGACATAGTGTCTCAGTACACTGGTGACATAGTGTCTCAGTACACTGGTGACATAGTGTCTCAGCACACTGGTGACATAGTGTCTCAGTACACTGGTGACATAGGGTCTGAGCACACCGGTGACATCATAGTGTCTCAGCACACTGACAGTTTCTCGGCACACTGGTGGCATCATAGTGTCTCAGCTCACTGATGGCATAGTTTCTCGGCACACAGGTGACATCATAGTGTTTCAGCACACAGGTGACAGTGTCTCAGCACACTGGTAAAAGTGTCTCAGCACACTCATGACATAGTGTCTCAGCACACTGGTGACGTCATAATGTCTCAGCACACTGGTGACGTAGGGTCTCAGCACACTGGTGACATAGTGCCTCAGCACACTGGTGACATAGGGTCTCAGCACACTGGTGACATAAGGTCTCGGCACACTGGTGACATCATAGTGTCTCAGCACACTGGTGACATCATGAGGTCTCAGCACACTCATCATGGCCGTCTCAAAACAACGTGAATATTGCATTGTTGACTCAGCACGCACCTCATTCAGATACAAGATTTGCGTATGTACAATGCATATACAAGTACATATACATTCGTAATTCAAAGTGTTAAAAAGAGTGCATAAAAATAAACACGAGACAGAGACAAAAAAATATTCGAAGGTGATTGAATATAGAGTATGTTTAGGCTGAAAATGGTGCAGAGTAGAGGAGAAACCAGCATGTTTTAAGAGAGTTTATTTTGTCATGAGGAAGCACTAAACCGGTAGAAGTCATTAAACCGCTGTAAATGTGAGGCATGTTAGGTAAGACACATATGCAACAGTTAGGTATCTTTATTATGAAACGTTTCGCCTACAAAACGTTTCATAATAAAGATACCTAACTGTTGCATATGTGTCTTACCTAACAACCTGTCGGTATTTTATACCATTTTAATGTTCAAATGTGAGGCATGTAGGTTTGATCTTAGGAAGGGGAGAATATGTCTAGTTCCAGCGATCAAGAGCCCATCACCGCCAAAAAGGTACCTTCCTAAAGTGCTGTTTAAGAGGGTACTGATCTAGCCTTTATAGGGCAGAATACACACTTTTTTATATAGATTATGAGTTGCTTTAACCTTATTACATTGTAGCATTGATTACGATTATTTTTAATAAAAGTGTAAGGTTCTTCACCTCATATAATGTAATTAATTATTTGTTCCATTCAAAGCTGAAATTGATGTGTATATTGAAAATTTATTTAACTTTCTGTTTGTAGAATAAAGTGAAATTCAGTAACATATTTTTCTCTGTATGATATCCATGTATTTATAATTCAGTTTTAATATGACTATCTTATATTTGAGCTATATTTTTTAATAATTTGGAAATATTGTATAGTATGTTCATTAGCCTTACTCTTTTTTGCTTAATAAAAACAGTGATTGTATTTTGAAGACTTGGTGAGAGTATTCAGATGGTTATTTGAACTGTGATATATGCACTCTTCTGAATGATGGTAAATATGTTTTCTTCTTTTGGTAAGTGGAAAATATATCAATTTATTTGATTCTCACCTGAAAATTCCAAAGAAAATCATATTCACAAAATAACAAAGTGATGAACGGTTATAATTTCTTTGGGGTGACAGAGAAGCAGAATTTGACTCTGCTGTTAATGCTCGAGATATAATACTTTTCCAAAGTACAAAACTCCTTACCTCAAAGTTTTTACCCACATAGGGATCAGACAGTAAAATGATGATGTCAAAGTCTGTCTTAACTTTAACAGAGAGAGCTTCATAGGCACTTCCTCCATGCATAACATCAGCCTTATAAGCTTCGTGAAGAATGCTACCACGGACACCAGCCTGATGAGCTTCGTGAAGAATGTTACCACGGACACCAGCCTGATAAGCTTCGTGAACATTAATACCACTGATAACGAATGCTTGCTGATGAAGATAATGGGAAGCCTGACTCGGATATAAAGTCACTATTGCCGAATTGTTCCTGGACCTTTGAGACAAAGTCATTAACCACCTAGAAAATAAATAATCCACATTAACCCCAGAAGCCAACAGCAGGGTTATTAAAAATTATTTGTATAATTTAAGGTTTAACATTTCAAGTAAATATTTGTAACAAAAACTTTATAACCTGTGATATTTTCTTATTTTTGTGTGAGAGATGATTAGATGTAAGTGCAAGTAGGTTTTGAACTGGGTGAAGTTATGGGAGTAAGATATTGGTGGTGGGAGCGTGATTATGGTAGCAGTAGGTCGCAATTGTTGTTGGTGGAGCTTGTGGGTGTGGAAGTTATGGCAGTAGGTATGGTGATGGGGTATAAGTAGGTATAGGGAGTGATAGTGGTAGGAATGGTAGGGAATGTGTGTTTGGTACTATCAATGGAATGTCCGTGTAATTGTTGTGAAGGGAGTGTATAGTTGCAGTTATGGTTAGTGATGGTGATAGTGGTAATTATGTATCACCAAAGGGGTATGTTTAAGAGGTTTCAAGAAATTTTTCTCACATTTTTAACATATGCTTGTCAACACCTCTTTTGATCAGATTCAAATTTTCGCTGCTATTGTACTGTAACCAGAGAAAGATTCACGCAACTATTGACATGCAATCTCCTTCTGGTCAATTTTCAATAGACTATTCCTGGATTTACTTTTTGTGTGATAACTTTAGAAAGACTTAATAACCTTTTAACTATCATTACTGATATATCCTGCTTAGTTACATTGTGTAGTTTTTAAAAAAAATCGCTTTAGTATGACTCGTCTGAACAGATTAAATCTTTAAATGTCAATTTATCACAATGACAAGATGAAATCCAACAATTTTATGCTTTGCAAATGTAAATTTGTTCGTTTCCAGCCACAATTAATAAACCTGGATTTGTTGGATTCCGTGCAATAACTAGAGAAGGATTATTCTGATCAACTTTAAACTTTCAGCAACGGCGGATGTTCTGCAAAAAAAAAAAATTGATTTTTTAGCTCTGTACTTCTGTAATTTGACAGTGTAATTAAACATATTGGTTACCAAACATTAAATGGAGAATGCTTCTTCTGATTGACTTTTTCTGATTGACTTTTAACCCTTAGAATGATGATGCATCTTAATTAGATAATTATTTGTAGTGATATTGATATGTGCAAGTGCTAGTTTGCCAATTTTATCGAAAAAAAAATTAAATTCTGCTTTTCATGCATTAGTTTTTTAATGTACAGTTCGATTAGCTTCAACTTTGATCCCTTGTCTATCTAATTTAGAGGAAGCTTTGTATTAATACTGGACTGTGTAGGTATTTACAACATCTTCCTTCAATCTCTCAGCTGTTCTTGTGTCAAACTTTATAGATATGAGGATTCATTTGAAAAAAATTCTTATATGAGTTATATGATGAGCTGTGTCCACCATGTTGCTGGTCAAAGTGGGGTGGTGATGATAAGGCATTAGGGAATGATGTGGTGGTGAGTGGGTTGACGGTGGAGAGTGTGATGGTGATTAAGGATTTAGTAGTGGGGAGTGGAGTTTCATGCCTATCATATAGGGGTTACGTGCTCATAAGACCCACCCCACACTGGTCCCGTCACATAGTTTGCGTCACATTGCCTCGCCAGGCTCACTCTAATTCCTGCCTCCATTAATATTATGAACACGGCGTAGACTATTAGCCTGCACGCCATGCTCTAGCACGACAACCAATTAGGAACCAGAAAAAAGGCAGCAGAGATAAACAAAACAAGCTGATATTTACAACATTAAATGTGCATATAAATATATGTCGTGAAATATATTTTTTTCGTTAGTTTCAGAATGATTTTTGTGAAATAGATGCATACACGAATTTTCGCTTGCCTTTATATATATATATATATGAATAAATTCATGGATTATGTGGATTAAAATAAGAGTCGGATGCAAAAAGTGGGCCATAATAAGTGTGTGTGCACCTGGAGACGAGTGTAAAGGAGAGAGAGATTTTGGGAGATGTTAAGCGAGTGTAGGAACTTTCGAACCAAGTGAGAGTAATTGTTGTAGGGGATCTAAATGCTGAAGTAGGAGAAACATTTAAAGAGAGTGTGGTAGGTAAGTTTGGGGTGCAAGGTGTAAATGATAATGGGGCCCTTTGATTGAACTATGTATAGAAAGGGGTTTGGTTATAAGAAATACATATTTTAAGTAGGGCGTAATGACAGTAATGATCACTTTTTAGTTCTAGCTACAGTGAGAGTAAAAGACAGATGGGAAGGGATACAAGGAAAATGGAAGCAGCAAGACAGAGGTGAAGGTTTATAAACTAAAGGAGGAGGCAGTTAGGGTTAAATATAAATAACTATTCGAGGAGAGTTGGGCTAGTGAAAGTACTATTGGAAATGGGGTTGAAGATGTATGGGGTAGGTTTAATTAAGAATGTAGTGTTAGTGTTCAGCAGAAGTTTGTGGTTACAGGAAAGTGGGTGTGGGAGGGAAGAAGAGTGATTGGTGGAATGATGTAAAGAGAGCAGTAAAATAGAAAAAGTTAGCATATGAGAGGTTTTTACAGAGAAGTGATGCAAGGAGGGAGGAATATATGGAGAGAAAAAGAGAGGTTGAGAGAGTGGTGAAGCAATGTAAAAAGAGAGCAAATGAAAGAGTGGGTGAGAAGTTATCAAGAAATTTTGTTGAAAATAAGAAAAAGTTTTGGAGTGAGATTGATAAGTTGAGGAAGCCTATGGAACGAATTGATTTGATAATTAAAAATAGGAGAGGAGAGTTAGTAAATTAAGAGTTAGAGGTATCAGGAAGATGGAGGAAATATTTTGAGGAAATGTTAAATGTTGATGCAAATATGGAAGCTGTGATTTCGTGAATAGGGCAAGGAGGAATAACATCTTCTAGGAGTGAGGAAGAGCCAGTTGTGAATGTGGGGGGAATTTCATGAGACAGTGGGTAGGATGAAAGTGGGCAAGGCAGCTGGGATTGATGGGATAAAGATAGAAATGTTAAAAGCAGGTGGGAATATAGTTTTCGAGTGGTAGGTGCTTTTTTTTTATTAAATGTATGAAGAACTCCCTAAAGTTTGGTAGAAAGCATGCATATTTCTATGTTAAAGGAAAAGGGGGAAAAAGAGAGTGAAAAAAAATTTTGAGGGAATATATCTTTGAGTATACCTGGTAAAGTGCATGGTATTTTAAAATTGAAAGAATTAAGGGGAGATGGAAAGTAGGATACAATGAACAAGGAGGCCTTAAAAGGGAGGGGGTGTGTACCCCCAAGTTTTCATAAACATAACGTGAACAGTATTTAGATAAAGGGTAAAGGGGTTTTTTGTGGCTTTAGGTTTTGAAAAGGAGTATGACAGGTGGATAAGGGGCGATTTAAAAAAGATGGCTAAAAGGGAGGTTATTAAAGTAATAAAGGTTTTTAAAACGGGGTAGGAGGCCGGGTTTTAATTTGTAGGAGAGAGTGAAAATTTTTCTAAGCAAAAGGGGCCCTTTAGACAAGGAGTGTGATATCACCGTGGTTTTTTCAATACGTTATTAATGGCGTTGAAAGAAAAATGAATGCTCAGGTGTTGCGGGAGTCGGGTAAAAAATAAAGAATAAAAAAAAGTGGGGTTGTCACAGTTTTGGGAGTTTCTGAAGAAAGTTGCAGAGTGGTGGGTATGTAAAGGAAAAAAATTTAAAAATGAATAGAAAAGAGAAAAGTGATGGGTTACAAAAAAAAATTAGGTAACAAAAAGATTGTATATCAATTGGGGGGAGAGAGTAGGAGGAGGTGCGATTTTGGGGTGGATGTGTCAGCAGAGGGGCTATGAAAAAAAGAGGTGAATCATAGAATTGTGAAGTAAAAAAGGGTGAGTGGTGGACTTTGGATTGGGGAGACAAAAACTTGTCTTAGAAGAAATAGGGAATGTTGAGGTTATTTATACCAGCACTTTATATGGGTGATGAATTTTTCAAAGAGGAAAGGCTGGAGGCAGGGAGAGTCATGTCTGAGGGAAAAATGGTGGGGGAATTAAATTTAAAAACATGTTTGGACATTTGGAGGGGGTGGGAATTACTAAAACAATATCCGAGGACTGAAGAGGGGGTTTTTGAGGTGGGTTGGAATGTAGAGAGGGTGGGGTAAGAGTAGAATGACTTCGAGAGGTATAAATTGTTGGGGGCTAGGTAGGGGTGGGTTAGGAAAAGGTTGGGGGGAAAAGGGGGGAAAGGACTTTTTGGGGGGAGGGGCTTTGGGCTTCCAGCAACAGCGTGAGGGGTTTGATAGGGGCAAAAAAAACAAAAGGATTTTAGATTGACGTGCTGTTTGGGGTGTGAGCAAGGGATCATTTAGAAGGGGTTCAAGGAAACCGGGAGCGGATTGAGTCCTGGAGATGGGAAGTACAGTGTCTGCACTCTGAAGGAGGGGTGTTAATGTTGCAGTTTTATAACTGTAGTGTAAAGTACCCCTCTGGCAAGACAGTGATGTGGTGAATGATGAAAGTTTTTCTTTTCTAGCCCCCCCCTCACCTGGGTGGGAGACGGCCTATATATTAACAAGTCGGCCATCTCCTACCTAGGCAGGGTGACCCAAAAAGAAAATCCCCCAAAGAAAAATGCTTTCATCATCATTCAACGCTTTCACCTCACTCACACATAACAACTGTTTTTGCAGAGGTGCTCAGAATACAGCAATTTAGAAGCATGTATAAAGATACAATATAAAAAGTGACCTGAAATAATATAATAAACTTCTTAAAGAATATAATATCAGGGCCCCAATTATATATATACTATTCTATTACACATCCCTCCAAACTGCCAATATCCCGAACCCCTCCTTTAAAGTGCAGGCATTGTACTTCCCATTTCCAGGACTCAAGTCCGGCTATATAAAAATAACCGGTTTCCCTGAATCCCTTCACTAAATATTACCCTGCTCACACTCCAACAGCTCGTCAGGTCCCAAAAAACATTGATCGTCATTCACTCCTATCTAACACGCTCACGCACGCTTGCTTTAAGTCCAAGCCTCTCGCCCACAAAACCTCCTTTACCCCCT